TTGGATTTAGATAGTTTATCCAAAAACAAAATCATTTTAATTAAGAAACAATATTAGTTTTATATTTATAATTTTTATTCACATAGGTTTTTAACTATATGGAAAAAATGTTACTAAAATAATTATTTTATAGAATCACATTATAGTCAAATAGAATTTTTGAAATGACGCTTATTTTGAAACCAATATAATGTAATTATCATCATTTATGTGCACCTCACGGATTGTGTACTAAATTTAAATACACATTTTTATGTAATTTTGTACAATTTAAATTTTATATAATATTTTTAATAAATTAATATAGGTAAATTGTATTATATATTGATTCCATATTTTAAATTTATAAATATGATTTAATGTAAATTTTTTATTTATAAATATTAATGAATCTCTCTTACCCGTGCATCGCACGGGATTCGTACTAGTTAGTATGATGTGATAAGTTTTATATATTCTTCCAAACACTGTGAAATAATATGAATTATAAAAACTCTATAATTTATTTTTCTAGTATTGTCTACTTTTTTTAGAAAAAAATTAATATTTTTTATTTATTAATTTGATTTTGGCAATCCAAAAATTAAAAAATATACATGTATATACATATACACACATGCATACATACATACAAATAAGATCTTTATAAAATTAATATGTCACTATATAGCATAATAAAATAAAATTTTGCATTAAATTAAATGAAAATGGACATTTGCTCTCAATTATTTATATCTTAATAAAGTTTAAAATATATCGTACAATTTTTTGCATCTCATTTATCATAAATTAAATTTTTTGTGTACATTTTCTGTTAAGTTAATCGATTAAATAATAATAAATTAATTAACACTGTAATTTACAATAAAAAAATTCAAAAAGTGAAAGAATTGTGTATTAGTTATATTTATATTTTATAATATATTAAAAAATAAACTAAGGTATTATTAGAAAAGGATGGTAATATATTTATTTTACATTTATATATTTTTTGAAGTATTCCTAATAAAATAATTTAAATAAAATTTTTCACTTACTCTTTTAAGTAAATTCTTAACCTTGATCTATAGATTGAGTAAAGTCACATAAGATTATAGTAAAATATTTTAATACAGCTTGGTTAACATGTTTACATATAAAAAACAACTGTATGTTATTGAATGGTATGTATTATACCTTGTCAAAGATTGTATATTAATCTTAAGTAATATGCATGATACAGATAAAAAAATAATAAAAAATATGTAACAGCATATAAACAACATATGACAACGTTCAATTTATATAATATGTAAAATAAATATTTTCATTACAACGCAAATTGTATAATAAGTGCATTAAATATATTAAATTATTTTATAATTTAGTTTTACCGCTCTATACCATCAGTAATTTATTTAGTAGTATGGCTCCATATGGTCACTATTTTATAAATAGTGTTACCTGGTCAAGTTTTAAAATACATTTTTTTGTTATACCGTAAACATTCCTCGCCTATATATAAGCTTACTATCACAATTTTCATTGTTGAAAAATTAACATTTATCATTATTATCTCTTAATTAATTTGTCTTCTACCAAAGAAGCTACACGACATTTAAACATCGATTTGGGATATTGATGTACATGGTTAATTTCAAATTTTGGGATTTAACGTATTACGAAAAAAAATGTTGTCGTCCATTTTTAAATATATTTGTATTTTTAAACAGATTTATTTATACGCAAATATTTTCAAGAAAATAGGATACATAAATGTTAAAAAAAATAGATAATATGTTAGTCTACAAGTTTGAAAATTAAAAAACAAGATTGCATACAATTTTGAAAATTAAATTCCACACGAAAGAATAAAAAGCCAATTTTAAATTTCATTCAAAAAATTTCCTCTATAAGTAAGTAAAACTATTTAAACAAAAAGTTAAATTTTCACTTTTGAATTAAACAACAACCTCTTTCATAATATATAGATTGTAATATTTTTTTAACTTATATCAATTAACTACATTGTAGTTAAATTAATTTAAGTATTTTTTTCAAATAATATTAATAGATAATTTAATTTTTCTCATAAAAGTAAATATCATTAATTCTTTATTTTGTATGTACAATATAGATGTCAAATTGGAGCTTATCAAGAGATAATTAAATGGATATATTATATACAAAAATCATAATAAATAAAAAAATTATTAACTTTTAAAAAGAAAGAATGAGGAAATGATACTGGGGAAAAATGAGGAATGAGGAATGAGGAAAAGAAAGAATGAGGAAAAGAGAAATACTGAGGAAAGAATTTATAGCTTATAAATTACTTTTAAAATAGGAAATGATATTAAAACATAATTAATGGCGCTAAAATTGATAAAGAAATATCAACTATATTTTTTATTATTTCAGACCTAATTATTTTTAATTGAAAGTAAATGAATATTTATCCTAATCAAATGACCATATAAAAATTTATCACATAAATCTTAAAGCGTGTAAATTTATCACTTAAACTCGTCACAATGGAGAATTATACATGGGGATGTATCATGTATGTTAGGTAAATCACTTTTAGCACAATACCACCATCAATCTATACTTATATAAAAAGAATTACTATTTACTAAATATAGCAAGCAAAATAAATTTCAAAATTTCTAAATAAGGAAGGGATAGAAGTTTAAATAAAATATGGTTGTTTTAATGAACTTATAGGGAAAACAGAAAAAAAAAAATAAAAAAAATATTTAATTCAAATTCAATTGTTAACAATTTTCTAAGAATTTTCATGCAAATCTTTAATTCAAATTCAAATGTTAACAATTTCCTAATAACTTTCCTACAAAATTGTCCGCATAAATAATGATAGATATGAAATTTAGCAGTATTCAAAAGTTAAGGAGTAATTCAAATTGTGGAGAATTTAAAATGGTACAAGTTTGCATCATTCATTTTAGTAAAAAAAAAACTTACATGAATTTTATTAAAAAATTAACTTCATTTAATTAACTTGCACTAATTATACCATCCATGCAAAGAAAAAAAAACACAATTATATTTATACAATTAAAAAAAGTGTATGCTACAACATTGGATATTAATCCATACATCATAGGTACTCACTTAATAAATCTTCACCACATCATTTGTTGGAATAAAAAACTTAATAACGAAAAAAAAAAAAAAATGGGACTATGTTTACTTGAAAGACTATCAACAAGTGTACAGATTTTTAAATTCACTTTCAAATTGAAACTTTAAATTCGTACTCAAATTGAATTGAATAATATAATTTAATTAGAAATGTAGGAGTTTCTTAGAAAAAAAATTATCAAGCGATTTGCATTGATTTTCAAAAACACATAAATACTGATTTCTAAAATTATGGGGATTGTTTACTTGATATAGATTATGACCACGTGTACAGATTTTAAAACCATCATGAAATTCAAATTGGATTAATATGATTTAATTAGAATTGTAGGAGTTTGTTAAGAACAAAAACTCTCTGTGAGTTTGCATTGATTTTCAAAAACAAATAAATACGGATTTCTTTTATAAAGAAATTATTTATTCGTATTTCATCATAAATCCCAAAGATGTGTACTTTGTTGATACGTGTTTGAATAAAAATCTTAATAACAACGAGATTTTAAAATCATTACATAAAATTGATAAATGAAGTATATGCAGCGTAAAATTGTTAAGCCTCCGTTTATTTTATACATTTGAATACAAATTTTGATAATGAGATATTAAAATTATTATATAAAATTGATAAATGAAACATATGCATAAAGCATGGAGTTATTAAGCCTCCGTTTATTTTATACTCAAATTGATGACGAAATAATTTTCGGTATCATCTCAATATTTATTTTATATATAATATGTAAATCTTCTCTCAATTTTAATATTTTAGACATAAATTTTTTTATGTTCTTTATATAAGATAATTTTATATTGTTATAATAGACTATATAAAGTAAATTTTATCACATGTAACCCCACATCTTTAATTTATAATTATAGTTAATATTGCTTATCCTAATACTCCCTCTGTTTCGTTTTAAATGTCGTTGTAGGGTGTCAACTTTTTTGCAAATTAATTGTCGTTGGAAATATTAGATTCATTCTTACATCTTTATTCTCTTTAACAAACATTATCTCTTATCATTATCTTTAAAAACGACCCATTAATAAATCAAAAACTAAATTTAATAAGATTAAAAAATAAGATTATTACACAACCTATTAAAATCGTAATTTAGAAGTTTTAAATTAAAACGACATTTAATAAAAAACGGAGGGAGTATTTAGTTTATAATTAATATTAGTATTATTATTATTATATTTGGTACAATGAAAGAGGCCGTAAGCCTATATTAGGACTCGACGGGGATACGACACTCCAATAATATCATGCTCTAACTAAACTCCCAGAACCGGAGGCGGGGAACCTACTCGCTGAAGGTTGGGATTATTAGTATTATTTACCCGTACATAGCACGGGCTACACACTAGTTAAAACATAAAACAAATATTTTAATTTGGAATTAACAGTGTAACTGACTCCTTGACAGCCCATGAGGCCCACCCCACACGCGGGCCGCCCATCAGCTATCTGCCCCCAATCTTTGACCGTCCAAATCTCCAAAGTCAAAAGCAATCCGACGGCTGTATCCGGTCACAGACGCGCAAGGAAGGAAAGCAGGTTTTGATAAGGATTTCTTGTATGCTTATTATCATTTTTCAATTGTTATTTAATTTTGAGTGTTTGTTTTGTCCATTACTAAGCTCGGGACTTGGGTTTGGTGCAGACTTCCTTTATCTTCCCAAAACTCATCGACTCTTTCATAAATTTCGGATCTTTACATATAATAACTTTCCTGTATGATTCAAGACGCCATACATCTTTCTTGCTGAGTCCCTTCTAGCTGTGCTGTTGTTGTTTGGAGCTTTTTGTTGTGAAGAGAGAGAGAGAGAGAGAGAGAGAGAGAGAGAGAGTAACAAAGAGTGGACAAGAAGGAGGTAAAAAGAGCTGATTTATGTTACCCGTTTGTTATAAAGTGCGTGCCTTTTTTACTGTGGTTAATTGAATCTGTTTGTCTGCTTTTTTCATGGGCGTGTCTGGAATCTTGATTAATGAGTCGGGTTCTTTTCTTTTATGGGTTCTTGATTAATTCTTGTTGGGATTTTGATTCTTGGTTGGTAAGCGATTATAATAGCATTTCCTGTTCGTCCAAGCGTCTTGTTTTTCTTTTAATTGTTATTTTGTGTTTATTGTGAGTTTTCTTTCTGATTGGTGTTTAGCCTTTGTTCATTTTGTTGGTCGCTTTTTTGGTTATCTTTTATTTCATGTTTGAATTTCTGGTTAGGTTTTCTTACTCGTCACTATTTTTGTATCAATTTATTGTTATTTTCTTTTTGTTTGAATAGAGCAGAGCTGCTTGAGGTTCTTAAAGTCTTGTTAATATTAATTCCTTTATATGTGAATACATGTTTGTTTGTTGGTTTTTCTTTACCCTTTGTTTTTCTTTTATTTACTGAAACTTTCTTTTCAACTTGAAATTGACTAAGATAGGATGTTCGATTTATTCACCTTTGTTTTTACCCCTGGTTTGCTGTGTAGCGATATCTTTGCTCAAACATTTTGGTGACTTGATTTTTGTTAAAAGTGTATCTGAATCAATAGAAAGTGTGAAGAAACCAAATAACAAAATGAATTTCACTGTATGAGTATCTCCTTCCTCTATGATATATTTATCCAGTATGTTTATATATTATTCATTCCACATGACCTCAAGCTATAGTGATCGTTAAGTTAACAAAACCTCTTTTTNNNNTTTGTTTGATTGTGTGGATCCTCTTGTTATATTTTTTAGTAATCAAGTTTTAACTACGATGAAATTGGTTATCGTTGCTGATAGCTATTTGCACAATCGTCTTTTGCATGTTATCTCTGTTTAGCATAACGAGTTGCTGGGTACCAGATGATTAATGTTATGTACTCATGCTGATTGCCATCTTGTATTAATTACATGTATTCATGACTTTATTTCAATTTTGATCTAATGCCAAGTTTGACCCGATATAACATTTGATTGCAACATTTTTACAATAGTCGGTATTTTCTGATATGATTTTTCTAAATATCGTTATTGTTATTTAAATCAATTGTATTATAAGAAGTGTGTGTTTTGCTCTCATTTAGTAAGAATTAAAAGGATAAACATACCCACTATTATTTTAGCAGAAATAGAGTATCTTGCCACAGTTAACTCATGGATCAACGCCCTCAAAAACGAGGTCCAAGTGGGCCCACGACACCGAAAAAAGCACATTCAGCTGCTAAAAATGCTCCCACATGCAGCCGAACCTTATGCAGCGAAAGAAGAAAGAACGTCCAAATCACAATAGCTGGCAGCAGCTCGGATAAACCCAATTTTGCAAACACTTCTTTTCGCTCGTCAGTTGGAAATGAAATTACTCGGAAGCCCTTGAAAAGTAGTCCCATCACAACAACAAGTGCAAAGAAGCCGCCATACCTTGATTCCAAGCAAAAGCTGAGTTCTCAAACAAAATTTGACCTGTCAGAAAGTAGTCGAAATGGATATGACAATCATGGCGCATCCTCGAGTGTGAGGCCTAGAAAAATCTCTCATCATAATAAATCTCAAATGAACAACCAAAACAGCCCGCCGGCTCGTTCAGTTCCGTTGGCTTCTAGAAGCTCTGCCTCAGGGTCATCATCTAATACGATGATGAGAAGGAAAAGCTTAGAAAGAGAGAGTGGCTCGTCTAGTAGAGAGAGAAAGATTACACAAAAGCCATCCATGAATAGGCCTATTATTAGTTCACAGTCGACGGCGAAGAGCGTTCCTGAGTGCCGGAATAGAAGAAACAGCTCGTCTGTGAGGGAACGAGCTGTCGTTATATCAGAATTACAGCCGAGTGTTGGCAGTAGGAGTTCTTCATTGAGTTTTTCCACAAGTGGCTCCAGATCTTCTGACACAGTGGATTTCACCTCTGAAGAACATGGATTTAGGCAGCTGATGGATGATGATGACATGTTGCGTGGCTATAACATGGTTGGAGTTGCTGAGGTAAATTTGGCCTTTTCATGTGTTTACGGAGCTTGCGATTTGTAAGTTTGTAGATCTTACTTTCTGAAAATGAGCTGTTGATTTCTTTTGATAAGTTAAGATGGACATTATATATACGACGTTAGTTAATTGTTGAAAGTTGATGTTGCGACTAAAATGGCCATAGTTAAAAGGCAGGTGTAAGAATAGGATCTTTGTTTAGGACAAACAAGAAAGAGAAAAAAAAAAGTGGGTTCTCCAAATTTTTGAATAGCTTAAGATTTTATAATGAAAAGAGGAGACATATTTTTGTGGAGATGATAAGCAAAACATACCCTCTCTGAGTTGACTATTTTTTCTTCTATTGGCATGCTGAATGAGAATATCATTTGCAGATGCTGTTTGCTCTCGAGAGAATTGAACAAGACCAAGAGATGACACATGAAGTACACATTTTTTTTTGAGCTACATATATAGTTTCTGAAATAAAGTTAAATTCATAATAAGAAAAATTCACTTGATCCACAGGACTTGCTTGCACTGGAGACGAGTTTGTTTCTTGGCAGCCTCAGCCTCTATGATAGGCATCGAGACATGAGACTCGATATTGATAGCATGTCATATGAGGTTTGTTTCCTTTGTTTTCCATCTTCATATTAGGATTAAATTCGATCAGGCTCGATATTAGGGATGATTTGACATTTTTTTTTCTTATTTTATTATTAACTCCACTTTTTCATTTTTTTTCTTTTGGTCATGACATAGACAAAGTATGGTTTGTATCTGACAGGAATTATTGGCTCTGGAAGAGAGAATGGGCACCGTTAGCACAGCACTATCAGAAGATGCATTGTCAAAGTGCTTAAGGAGAAGCATATATGAGGGAGCCCCATCTGAAATTGATAATGCAGGGCTTTGTGATGGAGGTGATGAAATCAAGTGCAGTATTTGCCAGGTTACAGATATTCTTTGTTTTTTTTTTTTTTT